TCTGGGAAAGCTCATGGAGGGAGGTGGCATTTCAGCAGAGCCTTGAAGAATGAGTCTTGAGAGACCTAAATGCTGCCGGCAAGATGCTGAACAAGGCTCCCCTGGGGGTAACCGAAGGTACCGTTAATTGGCCTCTGGGACTGGGGAGCATTGTGTCCATGACACTACAGGGAAAGGGGGAGGAGCTGTCTTATTCCTCAATAGCAGGGAGGCTGTGGGGCAGGGAGGCTGATGACCCTGCTCGGGGGACAGAGCCCATAACACTCCCCAGGACTCAGAGGCTCATCTGCTTCCCTCCCTGCAGAGAAGTCCTGGGAAGTGAGGACTCCAAACACACGGCCGCAGAGCACAGGGCTCTTTGATACTAAATGGAGCAGCCAGCTACACATCTGGAAAAGAAAGGGGCAGGGCCTTACTCAGGGTCACCCAGCACACCAGCGAGAGGGACCAGGTGATCTCAGTGATTCCCTGTGTCCCTCACTCTCGTGGGTAAAGTCTGAATTCTGTAGCCTGGCATTCAAGGTCTTTCATGATTGAGCAAGAAGCCCCCTTCCAACTTCACCTCCCCCTCCCTCCCTCCCTCACACTCTGGGACCCAGCCCCCTGAACATTTAGCACATGCAAATATATAACCTCATATAGTCCTCACAATCACGCTTGGGAGTAGGTGTCATTTTTCATTTTACGGGCGAGGAAACTGAGGCTCAGAGAAGTTTAATAACCTGTCCAAGTTTACACAGCCAGTTCAGTGCACAGCTGAGCTAGGATATCACCCTGGGAGAGTCTCCAATACCATCTTCCCCCCCACACCTTGCTGCTTTCACCATAAAGAGCGCCCCCTCTGGGAAGCAATCCCTGAGCCCCCGAGCTACCTTGGAGTCAGGTCTCATCTGATAACTCCCAATCACTTGTTAAGGTCCATTGGATGGGACTGAAATAACTGGGGCCACTGGACGACTTAGACTCCAGCAGCCTGTGCCACAGACTCCTCCCATAAAGGCCCCACAATCACACGGCTCCCAGGCCCACAGGTGCAGTCCAGTCACTCACAGCAGGAGCAGGGAACCAACAGAACCGAACAGAATCCTCTCCCCTCCCCGCCCAGACCTCCCGGCCAAACGCCTTGGCCCTCACCTGGAGACCACCAGCGGTAGGATCAGCATCTTCAACATCCTCATCAGGAGCTCCCCAGGAAACTGGAAGTAACTAATTTCCTGAAAACACAGCAAGAGCTGAGGTTACAGCTGGCGCTGCAGATGTTACAATTGCTCAGTTCTTTATCATCTTCAAAGCACTGCTTCATTCGCACTCTCCTGTCTACAACGTGCACAGCAGAGTCCGTGGAGGAAGCATGGGCTGTCGAGCCAAAGTCTTGTCCCCTGCCCCCTCCTAACTAGCTTGTGGCCGTAAGCGAGCTACTTGGAGTTTTTCTCATCTGTGACCCAAGAGTAATAACCACTTCATAGGGTCACTGGGAGGCTGAAATGAGAGGATGCACATGCAGCATTGGGCAGAGAGCCTGATTGAGAGTAAATGTTCAGTAATCACAGTAAATAACAGCTCTCCCCCACCTCCGCCCCCTTCACTGCCTATGGTGCTACAAATCGGTCTCATGCAGTAGATGCTAGGAGGCACGAGGGCAGGGCTGCATGCTGCTCACACATTCATTCCACACCTACTGCGCCGGGCATCACACTGGGTACCCACAAATGAAATAGGCACAGTTTTCGCCCTGAAGTTCTCAGTCTAGTTTATGAGGAGACTGACTCAGAAACAGACCATGGTATTCTTGAGTCAGTTTCTCATTCAGTGTTGGGTCCATTGTCTGCCTCCCCACACAGCGCCCTCAACATTTAAAATGCTGAAAGAGAATTGGATTGGATTGGTGAGACACCACTCAGTATAAAGAGCCCTACTGGATAGAGTTCTATGCTGGGCTTCCTCCTGGGCTGCTGGTTCCAGCCTATCTATGCGACTGGCATCAGGGTCCTAAATTCTTGCCCAATCAGCTGTCTCCAGATCCTGTGACCAGATGCTGACAACCGAATGGGAGGGGACTACTGAGCCCAGTAAAATTTGAATTTCAGATAAACAACTACATTTGTTTTTTACTTATACTAAATATTGCTTATCTGAAATTCAAATGTAACTGGGTATGCTGTTTTCAAATTTAATTTAGTTCAGTTTCGCTGTTTCTGGCAACCCTAGTTTGAGGCCACTTTCATCAAAGGGTGAGGTTGTGGTAAAGGCTGGTACATCCAAATTAAAGGTTTGTACTTGAAACTTTTTTTAAAGGCCAAACATAACACTTGGTTAATGGTCTGATGATTTGAAAAGCTCCAAATCCTAGAATTTTGGTGCCGAGAAGGGTTTTTTAAAGATCTTTCAGTCCAGCTGACTCATTTTGTAGTTGAGGAAGCTGAGCCAGGAGAGGGAGGTGACTTGCTTCACAGAGTGAGTTAGCATCAGTGAGAACCTGAAATCAGGCCTCCCGTTCTGCTACCATTTCCAATGCACAGAAATTCTACTTTTAAAAATATACCCATCATGGCTGTGTATGATTAATTAATTTTAACCAATGTGTCTATTCTTTAATTTACGTAGCACTATAATGATAAAAAGGCAGTCCCTTCCTCACCCATCTCTATCCCAACCCAACTTCCCAGGATTGAACACCCTCAACTCTCTTAGATGTTTTCCTTAGTATTGTTATTTCTAAATAATACAGTTATAATACTATTTCTAGATATATCTTTTTGACATCTATTAACTTCCCTTTTTGACATCTGCCATGACAGATGAAGACTTATTCCCTTTTTCCTCCTACCATTTCACCATTATATCACAATTTTTGGTTAAATTAATAGTCAAGGTTTAATTAATAGTCACTATTGAGCCAAGTAATATGCTAGAACCTTCTTTGTACAACCTTTCTTGTATGACCTAAGTTTCCTGCAGTTAATAATTGACTAATTTTTCATTTGTTTTCTGTGAACCACTCACTAATTTCTTCCAAGTGCTTCAACATTTCTTTAAAAAGTCCAAACAAGCCCTAACTGGTTTGGCTCGGTGGATAGAGCATTGGCCTGCGGACTGAAGGGTCCCAGGTTTGATTCCAGTCAAGGGCATGTATAGGGTGTCCCAAAATTCATGCAAGATTTGAATTTTGCGTGAGCATTAACAACAACAACAACAAAAAATAAAAGCCTAATTTTACTTGGTTTATTGAATCAGATTCTAATATCTGTTGCCCTTTGATTTCAATCCCTTCAATTTGATAAGCATTACCAAGTACCAATTATGGCCCAGGAGCAGGGACAATGAAGACCAATGAAGACCACGGCTTTGCGTATGTGCCAGCAAAGCCGTGGAGGCCATTTACCTGATGTGCTATTCCTATACTGTATACTTTATGAATCAATAAAAATTTACAATTTTTAATTATAAACCTGTGTTTTCTATCAAAATTACTTCTTGGGTGAATTTTGGGACACTCTATACCTTGGTTGTGGGCACATTCCCAGTAGGAGGTGTGCAGGAGGCAGCTGATCAATGTTACTAACTCTTGATCCCTCTCCCTTCCTCTCTGTAAAAAATCAGTTATATATATATATATATATTTAAAAGTCCAAACAACAAAAACAAAAAACAATAAAAATAAAAAGGCCCAACAGGAGTATTTTCTGTATCCTCAAGCATAACCATTCCTTTTGTGCCCTTCAAGAGCACTCCATCTTCCTATTCCAGTTTGGGCAGATTGCTCTCTAGGCCTCTTCTTTGCTGTCATTCTGGGACTTTCTCCTGTATATTATCCCCTCTTTCCTGGATTTCTTGTCTTCTTCATTTACTTCCTTGTTTTTCAGGAACATCTCCTTTGGTAGCTTTCTCAGTAAGAGTGAATGGAAGAGAAACTTCGGAGTCCTTATATAAGTAAAAATGCCTTTATTCTACCTTTACCTCTGACAGTAGTTGGGCCATATATAAGATCCTTAGTTTAAAAGAATTTCCCCTCCAAGGAGATTTGACTTGGGACGGTGAACACACAATATGATATCCAGATGATGTATTATAGAATTGTAACCTGACACATATATGATTTTATTAACTAATACCACCCCAATAAATTCATTAAAAATAAATAAATAAAATAATTCCCCCTTCAAATTTCAGAGGCACTTACATTTTGCCTTTTAGATTCCAGTGTTGCTTAAGATGTTTGGAGCTACTCTTACTTTCTATTCTTTACATGAGACTTGTTTTATTCCCACAGAACCATTTAAGGATCATCTGTTTATCTTCAATTTTCTGTAATTTTCAAAGTGATAAACTATGGTATGAGGTTTTCCTCTTTCTTTTTAAAAAATTCATACTAGTAGTGTGTGCATACCTATCATTTTTTTTATTTTTAACAGGTTCTGTAATCTTGACTATACCTTTTTATTTTAGGTACACTTTCTTCTCGTGAAATATTACCTTTCAAACCTTCTTGTGTTCTCTGTGAATTTTGTCTCACCTTTTTCTCTTAGTGCTCTCTAAAACTCTCAGAGAGTTGGATATTGGGCATTCTAATTTTATTTATCTGTTTCCATCTCTTTTTGTTTTACTTTCTGGAAGATTTCTGCAACTTTATCCCGGCTATTGACCTTTTAATCCTGGCTTACCTATTTTTAATTTCCAAAAGCTCTTTCTTGTTCTTGGATTGTTTTTTCTTTTTGCATCCCACTCCGTTTTATAGTCACTATATCTTCTCTCATATCTTCAAAGAACTTAAGAAAAGATTTAGCCCTGGCCCAGGTGGGTGGGTGGGCGGGGGAGGGTCTCAGTGGTTGGAGCATTGTCATCCCACACACCGAAAGGTTGCAGGTTTTATTCCTACTCAGGGCACATGCCTAGGCTGCAGGTTGGACACCTGGTCATGGGGTGTGCGGGAGACAGGCAACTGATCAATGTTTCTCTCTCATATCAATGTCTGTCTCTCTCTCTCTCTCTCTCTCTCTCTCTCTCTCTCTCCTTTCCTCTCCCTCTAAAAAATCAATAAAAACATATCCTCAGGTGAGGATTAAAAAATTCCATTACTATAATTTTGGTAGAATCCAGGAAGGACAGGAAAATGTGTGCAGTTGTAAATTCACCATGTTAACTGGAACTCTCAAAATGATCTATATTTTTAAATGAGATACTTATTTCAATAATATTACAAATTATAAATCTTGTAGATTATTTTCTGAAATAGGACTTTCTATTTGTAAACTGTTTATAATTTTTTTGCCTGTTGCATAAGCTTACAAAATAAGAAGGGCTTGGTTTCTGAATCACAGGCAGAGATCAAACAAACTCCTGGATTTCAAAGTAAGATGCTGAGAAAGCCAATTTCTGCCAAATAATTGTTCTAAGACTCCACATCCTTCCTTCAGTTTATCTGGCAGGTTAATTCCGATGGGAATATATTTGCATTTCCAAACAGATGGGGAAGGCAGCTTTGGCAAAGGAGGCCCCAGATGAGTTTGGCTTTTCATAATAAGCATTCCAACTTGTTTTCACAAAATAATCTTCCTGCAGGAAAGATAGTTTTGTTGTTGAGGAAAATTAAAGAAAGTAGATAGCAGATGGTTTGTGCTATTGCCAGTTTAATTCAGCAAATAGTTGAGGGTTCTTTCTGTGATAAGCACTGACCTAAGTTCACATTTTGATTCAAGAAAAGCCCATGAGATATTCAGCAAGTTGAAATCTGATGGGGAAATAGACTTCTACACAAATGGCTCTGAAGTAAGGCAGCTGGCAGCAGGGTTACACTGGAGGGATGAGCCTGGGGTGAGTGGGGGAGGAGAGTAACATTTCAGATCTGGGCAGATCTGGAAGAATTTGTCTAAGATTTGGAACAGGAGATGGTCTTGATGTGGGTAGCACATAGACAGGTAGGTAAGGGAGGGAGGAGGGAGATAACACTCAGTAAGCACCCACGACATGCCAGGCACTGATGGATCCTTGTTTACTCCTCAACAATTCTAGTGACACATAGTGCCCCCACTCCATTTTACAGATGAGGAAACAGGTCAAAAAGGAGTTAAGATTTTGCCTAGGGCCACACAGCCACTTCTTAGGAGAGTCAAAGTTCAGGGTTCCTCTGCCTCCAGAGTCCATGCTTCTTCCTAAATAACTGAAGGTGGCTTCACGGTGTTACTACAGGATTAGTGGCCCAATTCCCAGGGCCAATATTTTAAATATATTTTTATTGATTTCAGAGAGGAAAGGAGAGGGGGAGAGAGAGAGAGAGAGAGAGAGAGAGAGAGAGAGAGAGAGAGAGAGAGAGAAACATCAATGATGACAGAGAATCATTGATCCCACAGCTCTTAGCCTGCGGTTATGCTAATGAGGCATCCTTGCCTCCATTCATCTGGTGATGCCAGTTTGTAACCACTTGCTCGCCATTTTATTGGATGTCCCTCTAGTCCTATAATGTATTTTTCACACTCATGTTACAGATGAGAAAACTGGGGCCCAGAGAGGCAAAGTGACTCACCCACGGTGTTGTTATCAGGGAGCCATGGCGGGGGGGGGGGGGGGGATGTGACCCTCGGACCCCTCAGGCCCACACCCCGCTCCTAAAGGAGGACCCCGTGCTGCCCGGGGGCTGACCTGTGGTGAGAGGCGCTGGGTCCTCAGGAAGAAGCCGAGGAGGCAGCCCACGGTGACCGACAGCACAGACAGGATGAGCAGTCCGTTCCGCTTACAAACATCCCTCCCTCGTGCCAGGATGGCACCCGGCACCATGGTGAGCCCAGCCTGCTGGCCCCGGGCAGAGCACCATTCCATGCATGTGAGGCCAGCCGGGGGCACAGGGTCCTGGCTGGGGGCTTTGGCTCCTCAGCAGGCAGGTGGTCAGGGTTGCTAAGCACCAGTTGCCAGCCACTCGGCCATGGCCTGAGTGGCTGCCCCAGAGGGAAGCCACAATCCTATTACCAGCTGCATCATTAGGAGCTGGGAGCAGATTAGGGCCTGGGAAATTAGAGCAGGCCACGTGGTCTGGGGGCTCGGACCTCAAAGCCAAGTGCTCCTCTTAAACAGGGGAGGGGCCAGGGACTGGTGGGAGGAACGAGAGGAACATTTGCTTGGCTGCTTTGATTTTTACCCCCACGTCATTCCAGAAAGAATTGAAGGCAAGGCAATAGGATACTAGCTCACTGCCAATTAACTGATAACATTAATGAAGCATTTATTGCGCACCCGGTATTATTCTAGAAGCACATTGCTTGTATGAGCACATTTAATACAAGCACCAATCCCAATAAGTAAGTACAATACCTATTGTTTTACAGATGAAGAAACTGAGGCAAAGAGGTTGAGTCACGAGCATGTGCTGTGTGCTGACTTGCTCTGGCTGCCTTACCTGTGTGACTCAGGGAATCATCCCAGCAGCCTAGGAGGCCGACCTTCATTTGACTGGGTCCCTGGGCCAAGGTCATAGAGCTGGCACGCAGCAGAGCGGAATTCAGGCCAACGTTGGTGTGGTTTTCACCACATGCACAAGCAGATGGGTTCACAGGTGCTTAGCCTTTGAAGGGTGGGGAATTCGGGCTGTGAGGCCAGTGGACCTGGGTTCAAACCAGCTCTGCCACTTGCTGTGATGCTTCCTCGAGGGCTGCTTTAAGCCCAAGCGAAGACCTCTGTCAGTTCTCAGGGCCTATTATTTTTAAAGATGACAGAGCCCAGGGACCTACATTCAAGTCCCAGCTCCGCCACTTACTAGCTGTGTAACCCTGGACAAGCCTTTTAAGCTCACGTGCCTCAGTTTCCCCATCCATACAGCAGGCACAGTGATACCGCACCTACTTTATGAGGGCCGGTGCCACATCCCCTCCGGAGAATATTTGTGAAATTCAGCGGTGGTGACCTGCAATGTGCTGAACAGGGATTATCATCTACGTTTAGCATTTTAGAGAAAGGTTTGCTTTTTGCTATTTCTTGTGGCCTGCCCTGCCCTTTAAAGCCAGAGGGAATTAACTCCCGTCTATTTTACCAGGAATCTGTAATCTCATTAGGGGCAGGCAGACACAGCAGGGAGCACAGTCTGTGGTGTGCAAAAGGGCTGCACCCTGACAAAGGGCGTAGAGGGGTGATGGATGGAGAGGACGGGGGGTGGGCACGAGGAGCTGCTGGCGGCTTAGGTGGAGGGGGTTAGGGTGCAGACCCTGAAGCCCTGGGCAGAGCTCCCGACTGGGAGGGGACCCTCAGATTCTAGTCCCAATTTAACCAGCTGTGACATTGGCCTCTCTGGGCCTCCATCTTGCCACCCTTAGAATTGGAGAAATTGGCTAGGTGCTTTCTAAGAATCCCTCAGTTCCACAAGCCAACCTTCCAAAGCCTTTATTCCTTGCCAGTAGCTTTGGGGGTGTGAGGGTGGAGTAGCTACAAGTCTAAGAGTTTTATTTTTTCCCTCCAACTCTAACTCTTAAAACCAAGAATTTTCTAATATACCTTCAACTCCAATAAATGCCTCATTTTCCAATTAACCAGGTGGCTTAGTTACTGCCTAGAAGAGAAAACATTCTGAGTAGATATTTGAATTTGCATTTAAGATCAAATGGCCTTTGGTCTTGCCATGAAGCAGGGGTCCTCAAACTTTTTAAACAGGGGGCCAGTTCACTGTCCCTCAGACCGTTGGAGGGCCGGACTATAGTTTAAAAAAAAACTATGAACAAATTCCTATGCACACTGCACATATCTTATTTTGAAGTAAAAAAACAAAACGGGAACAAATACAATATTTGTATTTGCATGTGGCCTGTGGGCCGTGGTTTGAGGACCCCTGCCATGAAGTCTTGCTTTCCACTTGAACTCCAAGATGATTCCCACGGTGCCCCCACCGCTGTTCCTGCCTTCCGTCCCTCCCACGTGGACTCGGCCACCACCTGCTTCCCAGAATATAGGCCTTTCTTTTTGTTGCTCCCACGGTCTTCAACCGAGGAAATGACTATTCACTCAAACCATGTTCTTATAGCACCAACTCATATCACTCCTCTGGGTACTGGGACACAGCAATGAATGACAGAGTCCTTGCCCTCAGGGAGCTTAGAAGAAAATGGAGAGGTTCTAAGAAAGGACTGATGCACACGAATGAGCAAGTGACTGCTAATGAGCTCACTAAGGATATTTGCAAATGACATTGAAAGGCTCCAGGATAAGAACCCTTCAATAGTCCCCCATTTCCCGCAGAATCAGTTGCCTTATAATATTACAAGATATGCAGTTTTCCCCCCCCCACCCCCCATAATTAAAAGCAAGTTGAGGAATGCTAGCTGAAACAAAGTTAAGCAGATTCTTTATTCCAGGACAGCTCAAAGTCAGACTGCTCAAGTTCAAATCTTAGCTCTACCACTTACTAGCTGTGTGGCCTTGGGCAAATTTCTTAACCTCTCTATGAAATAGGAATAATACGACAGTACTGCATTAGTAGGGTTGTGATGTGGGTTAAATATGGGGAAACATGCTAAGTGCTAAGAGCATTGCCTGGCGCCTTGCAGACATTTACACGCAGTTACTATTTGTTTTAGCAGAGCCTTTACAATCCTATATAATAAAAGCCTAATATGCAAATTGTCCCCTTTACCGGGAGTTCGACCGGGAATTTGACCGCTCACTATGATGTGTGCTGACCACCAAGGGGCGGCGTGGAACATGGCAGGCATCAGCAACGTGGCGCTGGCAGCGGGTGGCAGTGGAGGTGCATCCTGTCCCAATGGGCCCCGACGAGAGCAGGACTGCGGCGGGATAGTGGAGCAGGTGAACGGGTGGCGCCAGGCCAAGGCGGGTGCGAGCAGGGCGACCAGTGGTGCCGCCTGGCTCCCAGGCACTGAGGGAGTCTGGCAGGGGCCCAAAGACTCAGGTTGGGGGGGGGGGGGGTTGGAAGCCCAGGTGCTGCCCAGGGCCCAGAGGTCAGCTGGGACATGCCCTTTCACGCCAGACTCTCGCGCTTCGATCGCCAGCCAGACCTAGGGACTGCACCTGTGCACAAATTTCGTGCACCGGGCCTCTACTACTAACATATTTTAGAGGAAGTCTTCAAGTGAGGGACACAGAATCCCAGCCCTCTTCTGGAGCAGAGAATTCCATGGGGCAGGTGTTTGGAGAACTCACTTTGGAATACTCCAGCCTCCAAGATGAAATCCCTGCTCCTTAGGGAAGTATTTGAGGTCCTCAAGGAGTTGCATTTGCTCACCTCTCCAGCCTACCACCCTCTCCCTCTCATCATACCTCGAGCTTCTATAACACCCAATGACTTCTAGTTGCTTGAGCCCTGCACCCTCTCTCAGGCCTACACACCTGTGCCCATGCTATTCCCTCTACCTGGAATGTTCTTCCCTCTGTCTCTAAAGTCACAGGTCAAATGCCCCATCTTCCCTGCAGCCTTCCCTGACTACCCCAGATACAACACCCCCTCTCCTCCTCCTCCCACTAACTCCGGTGCTTTCACCCATGGCCACTTGGGGATAAACTCCAGTTCCCTTGTAAATGACTTTGATAAAGACATAAAAATCTATGTGACCCTAGCTGGTTTGGCTCAGTGGATAGAACATTGGTCTGTGGACTGAAGGGTCCCAGGTTCGATTCCAGTCAAGGGCACATGCCCAGGTTGCAGGCTCGATCCACAGTAGGGGCGTGCAGAAGGCAGCTGATCAATGACTGTCTCTCATCATTGATGTTTCTATCTCTCTCTCTCCCTCTACCTTCCTCTCTGAAACCAATAAAAATATATATTTAAGAAAATCTATGTGAATAAACCGAAGTCTCTGTGCTCCCATGTCATCTGAAAACACTTTGATGGGTCATCCTCAAAGTTGGAGCGTATATTGGGGGACTAGGAGAGCACCCCAAGAATCAAGGAGTTGCCCTGCAGAGCAGCTGAAACTGATGGGTAGCAGGAAGCCTGGAAGATGTTCCTCGGGAGACTTGTGCTGCACAGAATAAGATGCTATGGGCAGAGAAGAGAAAATGGCCCTGAATCACAGCTCACAAGCGCAGGCGCCCCACTCTGCAGAAGTGAGTTTGCCTCGAGCTATTTCTCACCAGGCAACTCTGTGCAGGCTGAGCAGGCTGGAGAGAGCAGGGTCCATTTCTTTGTTGATGATTAATGATTCTCTAGGGCCAGCAGAGGAGCCAGCTCAGCCCGGGAGGTGAGTGTAAGAAGGCTTCCCAGAGGAGGGGTCATTTCCTCAGAGCCCTGAGTAAGCCAGGAGTTAATCCAGCACAGGGCTGGTCAAGGGGGAGGCGAGAGGAGAGCCTGTTTGGAAAAAGGGGCCCAGGCTGGAGGGGCAGAGCTGGTCTGGGAACCCGCAGTGGATCCGTGGGCTGGAGTGGCGGCGGGCCTGGGGCCTCACCCCTTCCACTCAGTATCAAAATGAGTTTAGGTTGAGCTGTCTGAGCCCCCAGCTGGGTTTATGGTGATGACAGCTCTGGGTTCGTTGGCTGCTTTCCAGAGACATACCAGAGGCGCCTTGAAATCCTCCCGGACAGGTCTCCTGGGCTCACTATAGGCTGGGCCTTCCCGGAAGGTTCTCTGTGGACACCGAGACCGGCCGGCCTGGATTCCTGCGAGTGTTAGTCACCCAGGGGCTGTGCTGGCTGCCGCTGAGGCCGGTCCTCGCCAATGTTTGTCTCAGCGGATGGGGTAGAGTGACTCTCGTGTGGTGGGCTCTCTCGTGTCACCTCGGCTTCCCTTTCCAGCCCTCGGGCCCGAGCACCCATGAAACCACTGAGCTGCCGTTTGTCGAGCACCTACCACGCGCCAG